GATACAACCGTTGCATGTGATCACCATACTTCTAGAAACCCATGTTTGAGGTATTTGTATGACCCAAAATTTTGCACACACACTCTCTTCATCTCAATAATCAATCCTTAAAAAAAAAAGTTGGATTTGAACCCTAGATATGGTCAAAATGAGTCCCCTCCAATAACGAATCTAGACCATTCATTTGGTGAATTTCAAGATTAGCCTTTACAAACTGAAAATCACTTTTTCTTTTTTTAACATTGTTCATCTAATGATAATAAAGGCATTTGAAAAAATTGAAAAAGAAAAAATCCATTTAATGCCTAGATCTAACCATCTTATCAAAATGGACGACCTATGTTATTTGGGCTAAAAAAATACTTTTTAGATTCCATTTTCAAAATTTTCTCCTTTGTGTTTGTTCATTAGAATGAAAAGAGATTATATTTCAAAATTTGGATCAAACAAATGGCCTTAACATAATTTTTGAAGATTGATGCATTATATTACTATGCAACCGTTGCATGAAATCACTATCCTTTGTTTTATTCTTGTGGCCGTTTGAGGATGTCCTTTTAGCTCAGTGAATGACACATTCACAACTACCCGATTTGAAATCTAATGGACAAGAGTGATAATGACCTCCGGCATTAAAAGTAACATAGTCTATTTATATAATTTTTATATTATGAAAAAAGTTTATATAGAGCCTAAGCTCTAAACAATCAAATTAGAGCCTACCTCAAAACTTTCACTAGAAGAGGTTGTTTTAATGCCTCATCAAATTAATCATCTCGACATCAAGATTCAAGGATATAAGAGAAAAAAATAGATTTCAAGTTTTGGAAATAGTGCATCTTGTAACTAATTTGTGGACCATCAATTTTTCAGATTTTCAAGTTTTCATAGATCTGGACGATCTACATTATTTTTGAAACTTTAAATTTTATAACTAAAGATGAAATTATAATTTAAGGCTATCACTAAACTTTTCAGTATTGAAACCATACTTCTAGACACCATTTGAAGGTGGGCTCCAAGTTGATTGTTTAGATCCTTGGCACTATACAAACCGCACCCATTTATTATATAATAATGTATAACATGAAAAGCATATAATGTGACCATTTATCTTTGGTACAAGATGGTCACAATTAGTCTTGACCATTGGATGTGAAATTGGGTGGGTGCATTTATTCCATTGATCAAGCTCAAAGTTCGAAATAAATTTACTTGAACTTTGTGACACACTCAAGCTATCAAATTTTACCTTTGATGATTATATAAGATGTGAAATTTCACATATTGAAAGTCCCAAGTTGAAGGCTTGTAAGTTGAGTTTTGAAACAACATTTATCTCTAGGAGAAAGCTAGTATTCATTAGGTTAAGTTTTGGACCTTGAAGGTCCGCAGTTCATTTTTAGAGCAACTTTGCTTCTTTAAGATCCGAGCTATGCATCGAGAAAACCCTCAAGCTCTTGGGATAAAAAGTTGCTCTTGTAAGGGTAAACTTCAGACTTTGAAAGTCTGAAAGAGGATTCATAAAAAATAAAATAACCAATTGAAAAAGAAGAGTGTGAATGTAAATTTTTTTTTTAAAAAATAAATGTTTAATAACAGTAGTTGGGGGTATTCATGTGAATTTATCGTTTTGTTAATTTCAATTTAATGAATAAATGGTGTGGTTTCCATAAGGTTGCAACCTTAAACAATCCAATTAACGTGAATTTGATCATAACGTATAATTTTGATGTAAAATATTCTTAGGATTATCTCAAAATCTATTTTGATATCTAATTATGAAAGTTTAAACTCTAAAAATGGTTAAAATCAAGTAGATCTACAAATATATGAAAATTTTGAAATGGACGATCTAGATAATGTGTTATAATTCTTAATCATACATCTCGATGTCGAGATGCTCAATTAGACGGTTTTTCAACATTTAAACAGCCTTTTCCGATGTATTTTGAGCTGCATCCTAGTTCTACATTTTAAGGTTGCAACCTTATATAAACTTTTTCCATGAACAAAATATCAAATAGTTAATCATTTAGTTTTGCAACAAATATTCTAAGAATTAAAGATAAAACAATATTGGGCAAGAAAGTATAATAAATGTGTACCCATTTAGATTGGATGGATGGGAATATAACTTACACGTATATTGTACGTGAATGGTACCACAATACTTGTAGATGTCTCCGTCTCTCGAACATTGGTCTATTTGTTTTCTCTCTCTAAACAAATAGTCGACCGCAAACACCGGGGAGCTAGGACCAAATTGTTGTTATTTTCTCTTTGCACATTTGGCTCGCATGAAAATATTTTCTAAAAAATATTTTTCACATGAAAAAATTCTCTCATACAGTCAATTTAGGAATGTTTTTATATCAATTGGTCTTAGTGCATCTTTTCACGTCAATTGGCAACTAATTGATGTAAAAATCTTCCCACACTTAACTACATGAGAGAATTTTTTCATGAAAAAATATTTTCTAAAACATAGTTTCATGTGAATCAAATATGTAAGAGTCACTCCAACCAAAATAGGGTTTGCTTCCTCTAGAATACCCATCTAAATGACTACAAGAACTCCCCCTTTTCTCATAAAAATTCCCTATGATTATGCTTTCACTAGGATTGGAAATCAGGCTTTGGTCATGAATAGTTAGTAGTGGACACTAGCAACTCTACACTTCAAGTTTGATTCCTAATGCTAAAGTACCCAAAAGAATCATTGAACACATGAAGCACCCTTTAATTAAAAAAATGTCAATTCCAAACTAATATGTTTCCTAAAAGCTAAATTTTTAGGAACCGGTGACCCAGGTGGATTGTCCACCCTACATATCTTTGTTAGATCTTTGGATTGTCAATCCTGATCAGTCCAAATAGATTTTAAATAGGTAATCTAGAAAAATAGTAAATATGAAAAATAAACTAAAATTCAAAATAGTGATTTATGGGTTGCGGATTTAGAGAGACTTAAGAAAACAATAGTTAAGTTTAAAAGAAAAATAAAAAGAAAATAAAACGATAAGTTTTAAGGGGGTACCAGGCAGAGATTGATAGCATAATGTAACTAGTTTAATCCTAGATGATTCCTAGTTCAGATTATCAAATTCGGATACAAATCGTCGGTTTTTAAGACACTACCAAAAAATATGCAGCCCCTCATTATAAGATCTTATGCTTCCGGTAAGGCTAAAAGTTAATCGCCTATATAGGAAACTGGTCTGGCTTGGTGAATCACCAATTTGAAGCCACAAACTAATTGAGGTAATTGAAAAGAAAAAAAAAAAGAAACATCGAAACCAGGCAATCGCGCAGCATCACTCGGTTCCCAGACAGAGTCGGAAATATTTCTTTTCGGTGCTACCTACTAAGAAGAGGGAGCGCCTAAAACTTTACTAAAACTATTAGGAAAAATTTTATATAGAGTCGAGGTTCTAAACAATCAAATTAGAGCCCACCCCAAAAATTTCACTAGAAGAGGTTATTTTGATGCCTCAATATCCTCAAATTGATCATCAAAGATGCATGGATATGAGAAAAAACTGGATTTCAATTCTTAGAAATAGTGTTTGGACCGTCAATTTTCAAGATTTTCAAGATTTCATAGATATGTTTGATCCATACTATGTTTTAATCTTTAAATTTTATAATTAAATATTAAACTAGAGGGAAAATATTTCTTTAGACCCTATTTTCAACTTTTCATTTCTTTCCAAACCCAAAATTTCAAAACCTATCTTCTAACCCGAAAATAACTTTATCTGTTTGTATTCCAACTTTTAACCCAAGCAAATTTAAAAAGACATCTTTTTTCTATCTCTCTCTCTTCACGTGTTTCAATCTCTCTCCATGTAAATCTCCCCAACCCCTCTCTGTCTCTACTTTTGGAGATCCTTCTCTGTCTCTTCGTTTTTCCATCCTTTTTCTATCTCCCCATGCTTCCCCACGTCTCTCTCCTATGATTCTTTGAATCCCTCTCTCCCCATGCTTCCCCGAATCTCTCTCTCCTATGTTCTCCCAAATCCATCTCTCTTAATCATAGTCTCTCTTATCCCAAATCACAGCAACTAAAAATAATCATGTTAAGAAAGAGAGGGGTTTAGAGATAGAGAGAGAGCACTCTCGCGTTCAAGTCATCCTTGGAACTAAGAGAGTCAATTTTATAGAGAGAAAAAAATTGAAGGAAATGAGGTGCAAAAGCTTCAACATAGAGAGATTCACCTCTAAAATGGGGAGATCAAAGAGCTTATCCTATTCTCTTAATCGATCCCTTCAAAGATTGCAAGGTTTACCAGTTATGAGAGGCTCTTAACATCAAAGAGATTCAAAGTAGGAGAAATCAGTAGCACAAGAAACCATCTTCATGCTCATTTTTAAGCAGTTTCTTTTCGAGTTTCGGTAGGGGAAAGAAAAAGGAAGTTTTGGTTGTGAAGGAGAAGAGAGAGAAACAGAAGAAAAAGTGGCCATGGAGGCCTCATCCTGATAGGAGATGGCCTGATCAGGGTTGGCGATAGGAGGGGAGTTTGAAAAATTCGATAGATGGATGAGGTTTGGGAGGTTGATAGGGGGAGAGAGAAAGGGAATCATCTCAAGAGAGAGAGAGAGAGGTTTAGAAACAATGTATCTTTTAAATTTGTTTGGGTACAAAAAAATTAATAAAAAATGAATAAAATATGTTTATGGCAATGGTTTACAAAGCGGTTCGGTGACCCGGATCGGGCACCTCAAAAAGCAATCCGGATCGGTAAATCGACGATCCGGATCGGGAATCGGTCAGATTAAAGCTTCAAAAAAATCCAAAAAAAATTATTAAAATTCATT